ATTTTCTTCTTCACACAGATTAAGTAAGAGATTAACGTTAAAGTGTTTGTACATAGAAACTAGAAGGTTTGAATGTTTAGATGTGTGTGTTTACATCAGGGGTGTCAAACTCATTTTAGCTCAGGGGCCACATTGAGGGAAATCTAGTCCCAAGTGGGCCGGACCGGTAAATTAAAAACAACTTCAGATTGTTTTCTTTGTTTTAATACAATCAATATAAAACAAAGCTGGAGCCTGAGGACAGTGTATCCAAAATAGTACAAGTACATCACCTGAAGTGTACTTGAAAATGTGAAAAAAAATAAAAAATCAATAAATAAAAAAAACATTCCTTAGTGATTCAAAGAGCTTACAGATCACATGGCTAGATCAGTTCCATGCGGCACTTAAAGTATATTTGACTCATTTTACTTTACACCTTTTAGCTTTCACCAGCACATCAATATCAGGAGTCACATCCTGAGTGGCGCCAACTTCAGGATGTGATTCAAGTTCTTGTGTGAGCCTTGAGCGCAGCTTTGTTTTATTTATACTCGTTACAGAGGAAACTTGCTCACAAAGATACGTTTATTTTCACTCTACATTGTAAAGTATGAAAATAAAGTTTACACAACCATCTCGCGGGCCGGATTTAACCCGCTTGCGGGCCGGATCCGGCCCGCGGGCCGCATATTTGACACCCCTGGTTTACATGATTTGAAAGTCACATTATTTGCAAAAATAGTTTTTTTTTAAAGAACAAGTCATGCAGTGACAAATTTAAGCCACTGAACATTCCTCATCCATTTAAGGATGTTGAACTTTCAATGTACATTTATAGTTGGGTGTAAGAAAGGCACGAGTGTTCCAGTGGAGTCACCACGGTGGATGCTGAGGACCAGAGGAAGGAGGCAGCTAACCGTCTGACTGACTGCTAGAAGCTGCTTAATGCTAATTCATTCATGTTCCCCCGCAGACCAGTCCAACGTGTGTGTGTGTGTGTGTGTGTGTGTGTGTGTGTGTGTGTGTGTGTGTGTGTGTGTGTGTGTGTGTGTGTGTGTGTGTGTGTGTGTGTGTGTGTGTGTGTGTGTGATTCATTTCCAGCTCTCTCTCAGGGAATGTGAATGGCAATAAAAGAGGGCAGAGATCAGGCTCTGCCTCTCTTCCCACTGACCCTGCTTTGTGCACACACACGTGCAAGTGTGTGTGTGTGTGTGTGTGTGTGTGTGTGTGTGTGTGTGTGTGTGTGTGTGTGTGTGTGTGTGTGTGTGTGTGTGTGTGCATGCATAGGAGTGGTATAATCACAATAACTCTCATGTGCATTGATGCATGTGAGCAAAATGACCTTGTGTGGTATGCTGTGTGTGTGTGTTAGTAGGTCTGAACACCGGAGAGCCTCTTTAAATGACAATGACAGAAACAAATCGCTCCAAACACCTCTGGGATATATTCACACACACTCTCTCACACACACACACACACACACACACACACACACACACACACACACACACACACACACACACACACACACACACACACACACACACACACACACTCAGAATTCCTTCTATAATTACTGTTTCCGATTCCAGATTTTTTATTACTATTATTTGTTAAAAGCACGGTGTGAAAAGGCATGGCTAGATGTAACAGACTGAATAACCTAAAATCTTTACTCCCCTTTCCCATTGTTTCATTTTAACTACGTAAAGGTCGGATAAATAATAGTATGTGACAGAAAAGGATTCATACAATAGTTCAGCCCTAAAGGGGAGACTGGCCAAGATCGCTGCACATTTAACCACAAACTAGCTAAACTGATTAAGATCTAACCTGCAAGCACATATTGTGTTAATGTTTAAAGAAGTGCTTTGATCCTGCTTTTTAAATGATCAGTGGTCAACTGGTCTTCTACGTTAGTTCATATCAAGACAGGTGCATGTTCATATGGCAGTGCAGTGACCACCAGCGTACTCATACATACCACTATGTTTATAAAGTGCCTGTAACATGGATCTACAGCCAACCAAAGCGCTGCACTTAATAAAACAACACACAGCATCAAATAGTCCCATCATAAAAACAATATAACAACAAAGTACGGCCAACCTAACAAACTGAAACCATAAAAGCAGACCATGGATTTAAAAAGAAAGAACCAACGTGGACGGGGGTTGGTTAGGAGTGATGCTTTGAGAATCGAAGGCCAGGGAGAAATCGTGCGTTTTCAGCTGAGATTTAAAGACGGTAAGATTGCCTCACCTGAAGGGGTCGCGAGTTCCACAGTTTTGGAGCACAGATAGAAAAAGCCCGTTCCCTTTTTTTACTCATATATGCTGCTCTGGTGCTAAAACTGATTCAGTTACTAAATTAATGCTGCTAAATAGAATCTGACATTTTAGATAAATTAGATTTGGATGCATTCATTAGATGTTTCTATCAACAATGCCCTTTTAGTCTAATGTTGATCAAATATGTATTTCTGTTCTAATACAAGTCTTTGTAAACTCATTCCCATTCACCTGTTGTTCAATGCAGCTGTCTGACAGGCATTGTTTGCATTCTTTAAAGGGGCAATATGTAAGAATCCTACAGCCAGTGGTGGTGGTGTGTGTGTGTGTGTGTGTGTGGGGGGGGGGGGGGGTCTGACTTTCTCCTATAAGAAAAATGAAAGAGGGGCGTTACTGTGTTGTAAAGTTTCCAGCCACGGTCGCTGTCCTATCTGCTGAAGCAGTCTAGTTCAATACCAGACGCTGAACATTACAGTGAACTGTACGTGTGAGGTGAATAATGAGTCAATCAAGTTGTTTTAGTTCCTTTAGTGAGTCATTCAGAATTAAAACAGCAACAAGGTAAACCAAACTTCCTCCAATGTTGGAGGCATACTACCATAATACGTGTAGTAACTGCTCCCTCTGTAAAGAGTGCAAACATAAGACTATTTATCTATCTACTCATTATTTTATGATGTATAACTAATCCTTGTTAACTAGTATATTCTGGCGCTGATCCGTAACTGGAAACATCTTTGAGAGCATTTTTGTTGTTCAGGAAAATGTACTGCAGTTGCCTCATCTGACCACAGGAGGTCATCCTTATAAATCGCACATTTACTTTTGAAAAGCAAAAATATTTGGTATCCTCTGTGGAGTTAAGTTTAAATTCAAGTGTTGCTTAATAAAAGCAATTGCTGAAGTTCGGTTGCACAAAGCAGATGTATCTGCAAACTGTTTGAACTTGGCATCGGTTACATTTTGACAATAGCTGTTTGTATTTTGGGCTGCATGGTGGCGCAGTTGTTAGCACTGTTGCCTCGCAGCAAGAAGGTTGCAAGTTCAAAACCCAGCTGCGGTCTTTCTGCGTGGAGTTGCGTGTTCTCCCCATGCATGCATGGGTTTCCTCCGGATACTCCAGTTTCCCCACAGATCACAACATACCCTATTCGTTAACTGTTAAATGGTAAGTGGCTTGTATTTGATATAGCGCCTTCTAGAGTCCTGGAACCCCCCAAGGTGCTTTACAACACAATCAGTCATTCACCCATTCACACACACATTCACACACTGGTGGGGATGAGCTACGATGTAGCCACAGCTGCCCTGGGGCGCACTGACAGAGGCGAGGCTGCTGAGCAGTGGCGCCACCGGTCCCTCCGACCACCACCAGCAGGCAACGCAGGTTAAGTGTCTTGCCCAAGGACACAACAATAGCGACAGACTGAGCGGGGCTCGAACCTGCAACCTTCTGATTACGGGGCGAGCTCTTAACTCCTGTGCCACTGTCGCCCCAAACTGTTGTACGTCGCTATGGATAAAAGCATCTGCCTAATGAATAAACATTTACTAACATTTTACATTTCTGTACACATCAAATAGAAATGTGTCCTAATGTGGATCCTGGGGGGATACCCCAAAACATGGATGAAGAGTTGTAGCATACAACATCAGAACGTTTTATGTTTTGCTTCTGAAATGGTTTCCAAACCATCAGAAAGTATCACAAGAAGGCCAGAATTTATTTCCCAAGCTGCTTTATTTGAACCTACGTCACATATTGACCCTTTGCACCAACGTCACCTAATCACGTGGGTCCACCATGGTGGACGGCAAAAGCATGTAAACAGTGAGCGACACAAGTACTAAACAAAGGGAAAAGCAGAGCCTGAAATTGTTTTTGCGATCAAAACAAAAACAAAACTCCTCCAGCATTCCTTCTACTAGTTCATGCCCAGTTCAGTTATCAGAAGTAGCACGTCTAGCCGAGGCTCATAGAGAGCGGCATGCTAACTAGCTTACCAACGTTAGCTTACTTTCTCTCTGCAGCTGTTCACCAAACATGTTGCTGACTTCGCTTAAATTCACCCCGCTGGATTTATAACTTTATGTTGTAAACAGCGTTTCACTTTACACCAAAGCTGATTGTTAAAAAGTCCGGATCCCTACCAGCTCCTGTTGCTGGTGGTGTTACCAGGCTCAGCTGCTGCTCTCACACCGGAATGAGAAGATCTCTGAACGCCGACGCTCATATAAATAAGTAATGTCATTTTAACACACATAATCATGTATCAGAGCTTTAATATTGTTAATAATTATCTCACTTTACACTACAGTGGACAGCGCGCAGCCTCTGTGGTGAAATACCCGTCCATCAGGATTATCAATAACATCACATTTACCCCGTCCCTGTCTTCCTCGAGAAATAAATGAACGTTAATCTTACCCGGTAAAAACATGTTCGCTGCTAATCTGATGGCGGCTGCTAGTCTGCTTGATTGATCGCTGCAGTTCATCTCCGTCCTCACTGTCCGCCAAAGTTATTAAAAAACAAAACGAGTTGAGTTTACATCCGTGTCTCTTAGTGCAGCCGACCACGCAGCAAGCTAAAACCATTTTACTGTCAAATCAACTAAATAAAAGTGATAAAAGGCTACAAACTGGCTTGTTTTGACTAGCTTCGCTGGAGTTTCTACAGGTGTAAACGGTCTTTTTGCCGTCCATCATGGCGAAGGGGGCGGTCACATAGGGCTGTCGCGGTAACCGCAAAAATGAAATATCGCAATATGAAGAAGCCCACCGCGCTGCATCATGGGCCACCGCGATTACTGAACTTGGTTCAACTCAATGATGCATGTTGAGAAGGATGGCTGCACTGGTATCAAAACAAAACGTTACTTCGCTCCTTTGGGAGCGCTTTGGTTTTCAGTACGTCAGCTGCTGCGCAGCCAGAGTCCTTGGCCGAGACAGAGCTGCCACCAGCGGCAAAAATAAATAAATAATAAACGCTCGGAGACCTCCTGAAGTCCCGGACAAGCACTGCTTCTGCAACCGTCCCGAAGAGAGTTTGAGCCGAGCTGGAGCTCACTCGCTACCTGCAGGAGGAATGCATCCACCCTAAAGAACCCCCCTGACATGGTGGAGCAACAACCGGGAGAGATTCCCTTTGCTCGCCAGAGTCGCACGCAAGTTGAGTTCGGAAGCGAGCGGGGCCGGACCGGAGCGGAGGGGAGCGGAGGTAGTGGAATTTGGGGTAAGTGCAACGAGCGCACCATCCGAGAGGGTTTTCAGTGTTGCTGGAAATGTTGCCCCCCCTCTCAGATCCTCTCTCAAACCGTATATGGTTAACATGCTGGTTTTCCTTGTGGGTAACACGGACGTGACCGAGCTATAAATCACCGTCATTCGTGTGTGTGAAAGTGAAAGTGAAATGATAGTGCGCCCGCCCCCCGGCGCGCGCGCGCCCGGTACATGTAATTTTTTATGCTTGATTTTAAACAACTAAACAAAATGGGGACTTGTTTCTTATTTGTTAGATGCTGCAGCCAAATTTGCATTTAAAAGTTTAACCTTCTCCTGAATTTTGTTGTTTTTAAGTTCAGTCGGACTCCGACTGTCGGAGAAACAAACGTTACTGCGATCTGTGTTGTTACTGCCCTTTGATCTGCATTCAGTAAAGTGTTATAAAAGAAGGCACGGCAATTTTTAACCTTTTTTAAATGTGTAAACATTATGTTTAGATAGTACTGCAATAAAAAAAAGGACTGCAATAATATCGCACACCGCAATATTAAGCCACCCTGAATCACCGCAGGGGGAATTCCTCAACCGCGACAGCCCTACGGTCACAGGAGTGGCGTGACGTCACGTGCAAAGGGTCAATAGCAATATCAGGCATCCATTTTAACTCTCATTCCTTCTTCACTCTACCTACGTCCTCTTATCATACACTGCCCCCTAGTGGTAGACCCAACAAAGTGTATATAAAGGAAAGGAAGAGAGGAGAGGAACCATGCATGAACAGTTTGACTAGGTTAACCAAAGAACAATAGAGCTGTGCAAAGAAAAGAAACGTTTTTATCTGAGAGGAATGGGGGTTAAACACACACAGTGTGGGGATTTTAATAACATGTTTAAAGAGCTAATCAACAAGTCAGTGTGTTCCTTTAAATTAAACAGGTTACTGGATCCAACTGTCATAGCTCTCGTAACACCAGAAACACGGTTTTACTTCACTTCACATTGTAACGCACAGTCTCTGCTTAGTTACAGGATGTCTACATCTTAGCTACTGTCTTGGTGGTGTGTGTCCAGGTCTCTCTACTCGGTGAATTCATCCATATGGATACCGTGTGTGTGTGTGTGTGTGTGTGTGTGTGTGTGTGTGTGTGTGTGTGTGTGTGTGTGTGTGTGTGTGTGTGTGTGTGTGTGCGTGTGTGTGTGTGTGTGTGTGTGTGTGTGTGTGTGTGTGTGTGTGTGTGCGTATGTGTATGTGTGTGTGTGTGTGTGTGTGCGTGTATGTGTGTGTGTGCACGCGCGTGCGTGTGTGTATGTGTGTGTGTGTGTGTGTGTGTGTGTGTGTGTGTGTGTGTGTGTGTGTGTGTGTGTGTGTGTGTGTGCGTGCGTGTGTGTATGTGTGTGTGTGTGTGTGTGTGTGTGTGTGTGTGTGTGTGTGTGTGTGTGCGTGTGTGTATGTGTGTGTGTGTGTGTGCGTGTGTGTGTGTGTGTGTGTGTGTGTGTGGGTGTGTGTGTGTGTGTGCGTGCGTGTGTGTGTGTGTGTGCGTGTATGTGTGTGTGTGTGCGCGCGTGCGTGCACGTGTGTGTGTGTGTGTGCGTGTGTGTGTGCGCGCGCGTGTGTGTGTGTGTGTGTGTGTGTGTGTGCGTGTGTGTGTGTGGTGTCTAGACACAGAGCTTCAGGAGACATTGAAATGGATGAAGCTGCACAGTGAGCTACAGAATGAGGTCAAAGGTGACACTCCACCTGCACGTCATGGATTTAAAGTAAGAGGAGAGATTTTTATACATTAGACAGACACACAGCAAGAGGTGGATCAGGCCCGCTGAAGGACACCGTCTCCACACACACACACACACACACACACACACACACACACACACACACACACACACACACACACACACACACACACACACGCACACACACGCACACACTAGTTGTTTAGCTGAACTCTTGCTTCACTCGTTCCTTTTCATGCATTAGATGTGAACAAGGTGAGCTGAATATTTGACCTGCTTGGTGCTTGCTCTGTTCAACCTGGTGGCATTAAAAAAAGCCCGACATGCTGGGATTCTGACTGTCGCTTAGCTTCAGCAGGCTCATTTCTTTTGTGTTTTAGTGAGACTGAAGGACAAGCAGATACACTAACGTTCACAAGGGCATCCTGGTCCCTGTGGAGTTTTCATTTAGATATCGGTCAAAGAACGACTGACATTGTAACCTTAACCCTAACCTGCAGTACGCTGGTTCTGCTAAAATAACACAACTAAAAAAATCCAAGACTTTTGGTGTTCATGTTCTAAACAATCATCATTTGTCATTTCTGACAAACGAGATGTAACATGTAAACAAATAACGGAAGGAGCAAGAGTTTGTTTCTGTAAACCGTGTAAGCCAGTGACCTAAAGGTGAGATTTTTCTACTTTTTCAAAACAAGTTGTAACAGAAACAGGGTGAGCAGGGGGGCACCCCCTCAATCTACTGGTTGGCTTCTAAGTGAGGAGCTCAGATATTGGGGGAGGGGCTTAGAGTAGAGCCACTGCTCTCCCACGCCCCATACTTTCACCCTTGCACCCCTCAATTGTGCATTCCTAACCAGTGGTGCAAGTTCATAGCCTGTCCTGATTTTTAAAGGTCTACCTTGGCCCCGCCCCTTTTGCACCCTTGAGCCCACATTGGTGTGGACTCCAGCAAAGGGTATTACCCTCAATCCATTGCTGCATGGGCATTTTGAGAAGAAGGCGGAGCAATGTGCCCTGTCTGAAAATATGTATTTTCTAGTTTACAAAGTATTTCTTATTTAATTATGTACGTATGTGATTACAAACAGGTGTTTCTATGTTGGAAAGATGCATCGTGTCTGCTGAAAAATACTGTTGAATAACTGCACAGGTGTGTGTTTTCGTACATGACATGGCAGCAGTTTAATCACTTGTTTTAGTATCATTAAGCAGAAATGTGGTTCAGTGGTGCAGGGCAGTGACACAGTGCTCAATGTACCAGTTTGAACTCATTTGCACACTTTCTACACACTCAGAGCCTTACGTGCACTTCCACCAAGATCACAATGTAGAGGAGTGTAGGCTGCAGTGAAGGTATTGGGACCGGGGCCATGTCCAGAATGCAACTCTTCCTACACCTTGACAGGTGAGGGGCGGTTCTATGCTAATGTCCCTTATTGTTACATCACAATAAGGGACATTTCCAAATGGCTTGAAGAGGATGGTGATTCTTCATTGCACTGATTTAATTTGTGACAAGTCACATGACACCCTCACTGGTTCGGTGGTGGCTGGCTGTTAATGAAATGTAGATCATTTGCTACAGTAAACATAACAACATAAAGATGGGGTATTTCTGTGGTTTTAACACATCTTTGGGCTGGAAAACCCGCAGGGAGCTACATCAGTGTAGGGGTCTTTGATATTTTCACATAGCCGAAGTCCTTCAAGTTTCTTTTTTCCCGACCCTAAACCACTGGCCAACGACGTTCAGTCATTAAACTGGCAGCCCTTTTACCATCATACTCCCATCTTTTGTCCTCCTGTTTGTTTTCTCACCATCCTTTTCTACTCCTCCTTCTCCTTCCTCCCCTTTGGGCTCAGATTTACGGGCAGCTGTTATCATGGAGCCAAAGAAGCTGTAAAGATATCAGGAACTAAAATTGATGCTTGTTTTATTGAAGTGAGAAAAGAGGTGTGTGTGTGTGTGTGTGTGTGTGTGTGTGTGTGTGCGCGCGCACATATCCTGCAATGGACTGGTAACCTGTCCAGGGTGTATGCCTCCTGTTTGCCTAGAGTCTGCTGGAGATAGACACCAGTGTCCCACAACCCTGCATGGACAAGCGGGTGTAGACAATGAATGAACAAAAGAAAATGATAATAATAATTGTATATATATATATATATATATATATATATATATATATATATATGTATATATATGTATATATGCTCATAACATGAATTATATATTACAGTGTAGATTGCCGTTATCCAGTGTGGTAGGTACCTCACACCAAAAGGACCTGCAAAGGTTCATCAGGACCTGTTTTCACCTCATTTGTCCAACACATTATTGTAGAACCTTATAAACAGTTCTTGTGGTGGAACCAGCAACAAAACAAAGAACGGGTCTCCTGACTGTAGATCTTAGCACATATGTGTGAAAGCATGAAACTAATGATCTCCTGAGGTTTTGTCTCTCCCGCCATATTAATATATTAATCATTAACTCACCAATCTGTCATCTTGGTACATTTTTGCTGTAATGTTTTGTAACCATTAAAGATCAGATGGTGTGTTCTGAGCCCGAAACCTGTCCTGAAGGTTCTGTTTCTTTGGGTTCATGCACACAGATCTGGTCTGAATCGTGGCAGGGTTAGGGTTAGGGTTAGGTTTCCTACAGCTGATGACCTTCGTACAACCTTGGTGATGCCAGTTGACTCTGTGCTGACCGGATTATGAACACGATTGAATAAAAGCACATTTTAAATACTCGATTCCTTGTGATTTGGGACCTTTAGCAAAGCGTGTCCGCTGGAGGCTTGGGGGTAAACAGGCAACACCTGGATGCTTCTGCTGGTTTGAGAGGAAGTGTGCTTCAGAATTGCATCATTGTCAGAGCTGTTCACATTTGTGTCCCACATCCTCCCTTCTTTATTCTCATCGTGTAATCCTCCCTCTCTGTTTCTTATCTCCTTCCCCTCTCTTTGAACATCTTCCTCTCAGCTCCATCTCCTTCACATTACAGAAGGTTTTTATTCTTTAGGCCTCCTTTGCCTCCACTATCTCTCTTCCTCTCAGCTGTTGCCGTCCGTCCTAATCTCCCTAGCCCCCTTCCTCCATTCTCTTGTCATTCCCCTGCCCACCCTCCTAGGTCCTCCTCTCATCTCTCTCTCATCCTCAGTGTAATGCAGGATAAAGACACTGGGATCACACATGGCCAAGTGGTAATGGTGGAGCGCCACTTAAATCCACTCATTTAAGTGCAAATCAGTGTCATTCTGGAGCTGC